CTATTTTCATTTAACTTTTTCTGTTCGCTTCACTATTGAGTGACTAGAAATATAATTTATATGCTAAACTAGATTATCAGATATTTTTAATCTATGACAGACAAGAAAATGATACCCATCGTATATTGGGCAAAATTTTTACGTTTTCATGTACGAGTTATTGACCATTGTGAACGGTTAATCAATAATATTATTTCATTATTTGCGGTCTAATAGTCATGTTTAGTAACGAAACTAATGTCAACAGTAGTACGAATTTAAGACGAGTCAGTCAATCTTATGGGTTTTTCTATTTAAATTATATGAATTTATTCATAATTTCTATTAGTTCTAATAGTATTTAATAGAGAAGTTGTAATGAACTTTTTAGAGAAAGTTCATTAGATCAAATGATTGGTGCCGTTAAGATTTTCAGACTACTCAATCTGATGATGGTAGAACCCATCATATCCTACCTAGACCGGAATCTGAATGGGATTCAGATCTGAAATTTTTTTTGTCGCTCGAATCTGGGTTCAGAAATTCTTGAATCGGATGGTCTCTACCTACGAAAGATTAATTAATCAAGTCCAAATCCAATAATTTTGATTGGCAGGATCGGTTCCAAAAAAATTTTATCAGTCAAGTTCGAGTTCAACGAATTATAATCAGTTGGGTCCGGATTCAGAAATTGTTGAACCCAATGGATTTTCATCAGTAGTTTGTTTGAAACTTTTATTCAACATGTACTTTTATGATTTCATTGAGATAAATCTTGATAATGTATATTGTATTTGTACGAATAGGATCAATATGAAACAAAAATAAATCAAGGTGGATCAAATTTAAGTGGTGGTCAACGTCAAAAAATTGCATTAGCTCGTGCTTTATTAAAAAATCCTCATATTTTACTTCTTGATGAAGCAACAGCAGCACTTGATAATGAAAGTGAATATCAATTACAAAAATCAATTGAAAAAGCATCATTAAGTAAGAAAAATAATTTGTTTTTACAAAATATTTCATCAATTAAATATTTAAAGATCGAACAACAATAATTATTGCACATCGATTAAGTACAATTCGTCATGCCGATAATATTATTGTTTTTGATCATGGTCGTATTGTTGAAATGGGTAAACATGATTTTCTTATGGAACAAAAAGGACAATATTATCAACTTGTACAAAAACAATTAATTGATGAACAATTTGAAAATATTTCTGATGAACAAGGTTTAAAATTTTATCATAATTTATTTTCATTTTTATTTTCATTTCAATTAGAAAATTATTTAAATAATGTTCACGAACAAAAAGATGCAAGTTTAATGAACATTGAAGAGAAAAAAGTAAATATATATATATTGTTTTATTTTATTGAATTGAAAATGAAATTCTTTTTCTTTTTTTTTTTTAATATTCATTAAGGATGAAAATAAACAAAACAAAAAAATCAATTTTTCATTTTTTAAATTACTTGCTTTAAATAAATCTGAATGGATTTATATTTTATTTGGTTGTATTACATCTCTAATTAATGGAGGAATTGAACCAAGTTTTGCATTAATTCTTAGTAAACTTGTTTCAGTAAGTTATTTTTCTTTGAAAATCTATTTTCATAATCGAAAATTATAATAAATAGGTATTAGAAGAATGTAATTTATCTGAACATTTTCGTCAAGTTAATTTTTATATTATATTATTCATTGTCTGTGGTATAATTATGTTATTTACAATGTTTTTACAAGTATGATGAAGAATATTTATTAATCATTGATTAAATTTATTTCTTTTTTTTTGAAGAGTTTCTTTTTTTCTCTGTCTGGTGAAGGTTTAACATTTCGTCTTCGTCTTCGGGCATATCGAACAATGTTAAAGCAAAATGTTTCTTGGTTCGATCGAACAGAAAACAGTACAGGAATACTTTGCGCACGATTATCAACAGAAGCATCAGCTGTACATGAGGTTAAACATTTTGTTGATATTATTAATCAATTTGATTCATTGAAATTTTTTCTTTTAGGCAACAGGAGTTTTATTAGGAATTTCTTTAAGAAATTTTGCTAATTTAGCAATTGGTATTATTCTTGGTTTATATGCAAGTTGGCAATTAACATTATTAATGTGTGTTTTTATTCCATTATTAATTTTATCTGGTTGGTTACAAACTAAAGTTTTATCAAGATTTGTTAAAATGGATTTGATTGCAATGGAAAAAACAGCAAGTGTAAGAAGAAGAAGAAGGACAAAAATATAATTTCTTTTTTCTTTTTCAAATAGAATATTCGAATATCTTTTTTTCGTATAGATTGTTGCACAAGTGACACAAAATATTCGTACAGTTGTACAATTGACAGAAGAAAAAAGTTTTCTTGAAAAATATAAACAAATTATTGATATACCTTATAAGTAAAAGAATTGAATAAAAAGAAAAAAATTTTTTTTTGTTTTTTGTTTTAGAAAATTGAAACTTCGATCACATTTGAATGCATTACTTTTTGCTCTTGCAAATTCAATATCATTTTTTTCTCAAGCAGCACTTTTTAGTCTTGGAGGATATTTAATGAGAAAAGATCATATCTTATTTGAACATATTATTTTGTAATTTATTTATTATATTATTTGATTATTTTCTATAATTTATTGTATTTTTATATTCTAGAATATTTTCTGTTGTTACATTTGGTGCTGTATCTGTCAGTCAATCATTTGCTATGGTAATTTAATTGATTTTCCTCTACATTGAGCAAAGTTTTGAAAGATGTATTAGAAGACTCGAAATCTTCTAATGCGAGAGAAAGAGGAAGATGTAATAAAATTTGTGTATTTATTTGAAATATTTAGGCTCCTAATTATGCAAAAGCACGATCTGCTGCAAAGAAATTATTTAAATTATTTGATCTTGAATCTCAAGACTTGGATAGTGTTCAATCAAAAGTAAGAAGAAATTTTTGAAGACAAAAAAAATAAAATATGAATAAGTTTTATTCTGTTAAAGAATGATGAAAAAGAAACAAAATGTTTTGATGGTATTGAATTTAATAATGTTACATTTACATATGAAAATCGACCAGATGTCATAATTTTAAAAGATTTTTCTTTGAAAATCGAACCAGGTAAATTAAATCAAGTAATTGAAATATGTTTCATTGAATTTATTTGATATCTATAGGACAACATGTTGCATTAATTGGTGAGATTTTTTTTTCTTCTTATTTCTTTTTATTGAAATTTAAAATGATAAAATTAATTAAAGGAGCTAGTGGATGTGGAAAAAGTACAGCTATTCAATTAATTGAACGATTCTATGATTATTCTCATGGAAGTATAGTAAGTCTACTATTTGGTTTTTTTTTGTCTGTGTTTTCATCTTATATTATATTTGATTGATAATAGATAATGAATTCGAAAGATATTCGACAAATGAATATAAAAGAAGTACGTTCTAAAATGGCACTTGTTTCTCAAGAAGCTATTTTATTTGATATTTCAATTCGTGATAATATTAAATATGGAGATTTAACAAGAAATATATCCGATGAAGAAATTATTTTTGCTGCTCAACGAGCAAATATACATGATTTTATTCTTAGTTTACCAGAGGTTTGAAAATAGTAGTTTGGATTTTTTTTTCTTTTTGTTTTGATATTGAAAATACAAAATTTGTTAAAATTAGGGTTATTCAACAATGGCTGGATCTCGTGGTCTTCAATTATCTGGTGGAGAACGACAACGTATAGCTATAGCACGAGCATTAGTTCGACGTGCTAATCTACTTTTATTAGATGAACCAACATCAGCACTTGATACAATAAATGAACAAGTTTGTAGAAATGAATAAATTCATAAAATCATTAAGTGTTTGTTGTTTTGTTTAGATTGTTCAAGACGCAATTGACGAAGCGCAACGAGATTGTACATCCATCACAATTGCACATCGATTAATAACAATTAAAAATTGTCATGTGATCTATGTGATTGATCGAGGACATATTATTGAATCAGGAAATCATCAACAATTGATGGATCAAAAAGGTTATTATTATAAACTTGTGCAATGTTCACAGAGATAATTTTTGTTTTTATGAATTTAATATTTCTTTAATAAATGGATGAAAAAATTGTGCATATTAATCTTCTGGATAGTGAGAATTCTTGCGTTCTTTACGATCTTATAGAAAAATTGAAAAGTCACTCTCTCTTGCGTTCTATCTTCGTGAATCAGCTGTATATATTTATACTAGCGAGAACCCGTGCATGCTGCACGGCTATTTTCTCCTTTAACGTATGACCTCAGACATTTAACTTTTTATCCTGTAACAGACATACAGATACTCGATATTATGTATATAGATAGATAGTCCTATGACCTCATACTGTTATATATCGCATATATTTTCATAGTGCATATAGCCGTTGCCCTTATAGCCTTATATTCCTTGTAGCTCTTTTAGCCTTATCTCCTTACCCCTTAATTACCTACCTCCTTAATGTCTTACTCCCTTCAGGGCCTATGGATATCCCTCTGTCATAGCCGATAAGGACCTATGAATACCTCTATATAACAGTCGTTAAGGAATTATGGGTATCTCCATAGGATAGCCCTTAAGGACCTATGAGTACCTCCGTACAAATACAGAACTGTCAAAAGTAAAAAAACCGTGTTTGACAGTTATAGTTTTGATGTCATAACATATGTATTATTTTGTCTTCTGTACTAGTATTTATGCATGTGCTAGTGGTGGCATGATCGAACAAAAATAAGCAATGAACGATAATTCTAACCTACTAATGCTCAATCGTTTTCAGATTATTTTTAACCATTAGTGAACGTTTTCGACTGTCCATATTAGAAAGAATTGAAATTGTAAGATGGCACGCTATTTACCAGAATGCAGGTGAAGTTGCTCGTCAGTTACAAGACCATTACGGCTGAACTCCTCCAACACGAATCAAAATTTCAATCTTGTACAAAAGCTCAACGAAACCGGACGTGTCCAGAATGAATCTAGTTCCGATTGACTCAGATCTATTAGTACCGACAAGAATCGAGAACGAATTCATGCTGCTTTTCAGAAAAGTTTCGAAATGTTATTCAAAAGAGCGTCTTTGAAACTGAAACTGACTAGAATCAGTCTTCGACGGATGATGAAGGAAGCAGATTTGAAACTCTATCGTCCTCACTTACTATACGTCTTGAGCGATGATGATCCTGATCGATGCTGCGAATTTGCCGACATCTTTCTGAACTTGGTCGCTGATAACTCTTCATTGGCTGATGAAATTTTTTGTACATAGTCATTACGCAAGAAATGCATTCTCTGGGTGTTGCTGTGCAGGCTGCAATTTGGTCTGAAGGCATCATTGATTCGTTCTTCTTTCGTGATACTGTTATTGCACACAGCTATTTTGAAAAGCTCAATAAAGAAATTGTCCCTACTATTGAGTATCGAAAAAGTTTCTTAATCGGTGGATCAATCGGCGTGGACTGATTGACTGGCCAGCACGATCTTCGAATCTAACTCCAAACGACTTCTTTTGATAGGATACAATCAAAAACTGTGCGTGTGCGATAAAACCTCAAGATATTCAAGCGCTCAAGGATGCTATTATTACAGAAATACGAAGTTTGCCAGCGAAATCATGTCGATGAGCGTGTCAGTTGGTACCTAAGCGATTGCAGCTTTATAAAGGCTTAAAAGGCGAATACATTGAATAATCCTTGTGAAAAGTTTTGCTATTAAAACTACTTCACAAATACATATTATTATGTGCGTCATTTTCTAGTTCTACTGCTTGAAAAAACGTTTTCTTAGAACTCAGACTTGT